TCCAAATATAACAACAGTTCAAGTCAAATTTGTCTGTTATCAGTTCTTTTCTATTAAGGTATCGCATTAATTTCTTTTAGGTAACAAATGGTTTCGATTCATATAACACAATATTTCAGTCATTATTTGGACTGTTGTCTTCATTTTGACTTGAGCCAAAGTTTTGGGAGTTTAAAACCCTACCACAGCAAAGGTGATAAAAAATTTCAAGAGTTGAAAAAGAAAACTGAAGAAATATTTACCCTTTAATATCCCAAAAAGACATGGCATGTGGAACTAGAACAATCTAAACACTTGGACGAAATCTGCAGGATTTGGTTTTCATATTAAAATAATTTCGTGAAAAAAAGATAGTCCGATGTCAGGTCAAATAATAGCACTTCAATACCTCATCTCATATATATATATATATATATATATATATATATATTGTATCATCAGATAAGATGTGAAATCGATTATAAATTCCAACGTTTGTAGCATTAATTTAAAAAAGACGGATCAATACAATTTACTAGACCAATATTCTTTATATATATTTATATATATATATATATATATATATATATATATATATATGAATCCTTTATACATGTGTGTGTGTTCCATTATATTATGTGTGTTGTTAAATTGTCTTTGTGTCAAGAACATTGATTTCATTTGAAAAATAAGATAATAAACTCATCAAAATTTATTATAGTGTATTTGTGTGTGTGTATATATATATATATATTTATATATATATATATATATATATATATATATATACTGTTATTTTAAGTTTTTTATGTTTATACATTTTTTATAGATACAAATATTTAATAAATTCTCAGTTTGTTTATAATAAATCTATTAACCAACATTTATCAGGTATAAATGTCCGAGGTAAATTTTATTCTTAACGAATATTTTCTATTTTTTTCTCTTCATTTAAATTTTAAATTTATTTAATATTTTCATTTTTGAACAGGCAAATTATATCTACAAAAGAACGTATAAACATACAAAATCTCTTAAAAAATCTAGCTGCTGCTCCTCCTCCTTTTCTTTTTCTATATATATTTATATATATACTACTATATATATATATATATATATATATATATATATATAATAAAATAATTTTAATTTTGTTTTTAACATCTAAAAATTTATTCAAATTTCCACTTAAACAGTTGATTAGATTTTCTTCTTTTAATTTTTTTAAGTTTTTTTTTCCTTTTATTATTGAAAGATTCCTTTTGAATGGACTATTGTTATTGTTTTAGATTTTGTAAATCCTCCTCTGTGTTTATTTTCTTTTGAAGAGAAACAGCAACCTTTTTATTTTCAATAGATTTTTCTTTTTTTTCTTCTTCTAGAAATTATTTTTTTTTTATTATTATAACGAACAAAAAAATACAAAAAAAAATGTTATCAGTATTTAATTTTCGTAATAACATTAAAAAAATAAACAAATAAGTTCTTTTGAGAGATCAATTTTCATATTAATATAACCGACTGAAAATTACCCTATACATAGTTAAATAGATACCTTGATAAAAATAGATAAAAAACCGATAATAGAAATAGATAATTATAAATAAGCTGAAACTGGATTTAATAGTCGGAAAATGATACCAATGAAAAGATTTGAAATTGACAAGATTTCCATTTAGATAGATTAAAAGATTGAAAGAGTTAAACTGGAAGATTAATAGATCCATAGATAATAGATATCAAGAGACCTGAAACTTCCCCATAGATAGATAGATAGATGAATAGATAGATAATTAGATAGATATAAGAGTATAAATTGAATGAAACTTTAATTGATAGACTGAATTTATAGATAGATAGATAGATATATATAGATATGAATAGATTTGAAACTGGAAATATAGATGAGAAGATAATGTAGATAAATAGAATTATACCTATTGAGTTAAATATATTATTATAATACATGGTATATAAAGGAGACGTTTCCATATTCTATTTGAACAAATTATTTTTCTATTCTTGTTGTCTATCAATTCTATAAATAATATCTATCTATCTTCAAAAAATTAGGGCAGAAATATTTTATCTATCTATCTATTTCTATATATGATATCTAGTCTTTTCAAAAATGTGGTCATCTATCATTATTATAAGATAGGTTATTTTTCTATGTTTTGTATAAACTATTCGATTATGGCTTTTCTTTAAATCTATCTATGTTCTGTTGAATGATCTTGACATTTAAGATTGATAATATTTATTGTTTCTTGATTTTTAATCAAAGATCTTCATATCTATCAAAAAACGATAGTTTGATATTTATCTATTATCTATATATCCATCTTTAATTCATTTCCTAAGAACTGAATATATATTTTATCTAAATAGGATATTTTATATACGTTATTATTATGGATTTTCATTTTAACATCAAAAGAGAAAAATAAATATTGCATAATATATTTTATTTAATACATTCATCGATATATTTTCTGGATTCCATTATTATAAGTTATATTAATGTTATTCCATATTTAATTAACTTTTTTTATCATTTTCCTTATATAATTTATCCTTTCCTGCCTTTGATCTTAAACTTCCAAATCATTTTTCTTAATATTTATCATTTTATATATCTTTTAATAATAATCTATTTCATAATGGATTTCTTTTTTTAGTTCAAAATGTTTTTTCTTTTCAGGAAAAAACTTTTTCAAGATTTTTTTGACAACAATCTTCTTTATCTGGTCTTCATGTCAAATTAATTTAGAAATTAATAAGATATCTATGATTTAGCCATAGAAGTTAAGAATATCAATTCTAGATCCTTTTCCTTTTAGATTCTTAATTTCTTTCTGCATTTTATATATCTATCATTGATAATCCACTTAAAAATCACCCTTTATATTTAGATTTTGGATGAATAAATAAAGATTTTGCAGATAATATTTTAAAATTTTTTGAATTAGATTCATATTTTTAGACAGATAAAAAAAAAAAAAAAATTTTTTGAAATCTCATAAATTAATATATTTAAAGGCAAATTTCTTTAGATTTTGAAATTATTTTCTTGATGAATTTATACGTTTATTTTTAGATAGATAGTTTTAATTTCTATATTATTATATGAAGATATATAAACTTGAAAATAGATATATAGATATAAAATCAGGTTTATAAGAAGAGATTGATGATTCATGATAGATAGATTAATTATAAATAAAACATTAAAAACTTATTGAATCAAATATCGTCTTATAGATAGATGTTCTTTGAAGAGAATGAAACCATTTTCACATAGATAGATAGATATTAGATAGATAGATCTTATATATAGATAGGAGGACAATCAGAAATTTGATAGAATTTTGTATCATATATAGATAGATAAATAGATATATAATTAATTTCTCATTTCAAAGATAGATAATATATAGACTCTTTTTTTCTATAAATTGAGAAACTAATATATGAAGATAGATAGATATTTAATTAGATAGATAGATAGTTATATTGGATGAATATTTAAGGTTATTTCAGATAGATACATTTTCGGACGTTTTGTAGATATATGATGATTTTAAACTAGAAGATTTCTAGATAGATAAATAGATAGATAGATATGATAGATATATAAGAATGAAGGACTGATGATAGATAGATGGATGCAAATTTGGACTGATTTTAGATCAGATTGATATTTTAGAAGATAGATAATAGATTTAGATAGATATAGAAAATGATAGATAGATAGATATCTAGATCTGGGATATTAAAGATAGATAGATAGATTTATGATAGATTTAAATGAGATAGATAGATGATAGATAGATAGATAGATAGAAGATAGATAGATGAATATGAATTCCTATAGATAGATAGTTTTATAGATAGATAAGAAGAGAAGGACTAATAGATTAGATAATTGATAGATAGATAGATAAATAGATTTTTATTTAGATAGAAACTGAAGATATTTAATCATAGATAGATAGATAGATAGATAGAAGACTGATAGATTATGATAATCTTGAAAAGAAATCTAATAGAAATAAGATAGATAGATAGATAGATAGATAAATATTGAAATTGAAAGATTTAAAATTTCTAATTAGGTAGAAACTGTATAGATGTTATTCTCATTAATTGACGATAGATATATATATAAATAGATAGATAGATAGATGAATGGGATTAGAAGATAACCAGATAGATCTAGAAAATAAATGTATAGATAGATAGATAGATAGATAGATAGATAGATAATAATAATTAATTGATAGATAGATAGATAGATAGATAGATAGATAGATAGAAAATATTATCGATTTCTATACAATGAAAGGATAGATAGAAATAGATAGATAGATAGATATATAGACCAAGATAGATAGAAGGTTAAATTGGGAATAGAAGATGAATAGATAGATAGATAGATAGATGATAGATAGATAGATTTAATATAAGAAGATTGTCGATAGATTCTAGCATAAAAGATGAATATAGATCGTTAGATATGATAATAGATAGATATATAAATAGATAATTGAAGACTAGATAGATTATTAGATAGATAGATAGATAGATATTAATAGATAGACCATATATATGAAAATATCATTTTTTCATATAGATAACAAGATTTATAGATAGATGGATGTATTTTTAACAGATTAGATTGTCATATAATGGCAATAATAACAAAATGATAGATAGATGATAGATAATATGAAAGATCAATAAAATAGATTGATGAATGAATCTGAATGGTATTGTATAATAGATTAAGATTTTAGATTTTAAACTGGGAAGATAGATAAAAATAGATAATGAAAAAATTCATATAAGAAAAAAATAGATAGATTTATTGATAGTATTTGCAAAATCGTTTTGATATTAATTGAAAAATTTTATGAAATTTAATTATGAAATTAGGTGATTTACTTATGAAATCGATATTAGAAAAATGGATAGATGGATTTTGGATTTAAAGATATTTGATAGATAATAGATGTTTTTTATCTTTTATTTTCAGATAGATAGATGGATAGATATATAGATAGATAGATATATAGATAGATAGATATTAGATATCTAGATAGATAAATCAGAAAAGATTTTAAACTGACTTTTGAGATATATAGATATATATAGATGAATATATATTAGATAAATATGATAAATAGATAGATAGATAGATAGATAGATAGATAAATTTTTATAAAGATAGAATTTATTTTAGATATAGATAGATTTTGACTAGATTGATATATATATTTTCAAGATGTATATTGATATATAGATAGATAGATAATGAGATAGATAGATGGTATATAATTTAGATAGATAGATAGATGATAATGGCGATATAAAAAATGAAATAGATAGATATGATAAATAGATAGATATATATATAGATAGATAATGTGATAGATGAATTGAGATAGATAGATGATAGATAGATAGATAGATAGATATATGAAATGGATATATAAATAGATAGATAGATAGATATATAAACATTATAGATAGATAGATACATAGATAGATAGATAATGTAGATAGATTGATATTATATAGATAAATAGATAGATGGATATTAATGACTGATAGAGTTGTATAATGATAATAGATAGATAGATAGATATTTAGATAATATACATAGATGAATACTGAATATAGATAGATATATAAATAGATATATAAAAGATAGATAGATAGATATGATAGATATGAATAATAGATGAATATATAGATTGATAATAGATGAATAGATAGATAGATGAATAGATAGATAGATATGATAGATAATAGATAATAGATAGATATATATATATATATAGATAAATAGATAGATATATATAGATAGATAGATAGATAGATGATAGATAATGAATATGAATAGATAGATAGATATAGATATATGGATAGATAGATAATAGATAGATATGATGATATGTGAGATAGATAGATAGATAGATAGATAGATAGATAATGAATATATAGATAGATAGATGGATATAGATAGATATATAGATAGATATGAATAGATAGATATATATGAAGATAATAGATAGATAGATAATATGATAGATAGATATATAGATATAGATAGATGAATAGATAGATAGATAGATAGATAGATAGATATAGATGTATGATGATAGATGATATATAGATAGATAGATAGATATAATAGATAGATATAGATATATAGATAGATAGATAGATAGATAGATAATGATATGGATAATGAGATGAATAGATAGATAGATAGATATATATAATGATAGATAGATAAATATATGAATAGATTCTAATTTGGTAAAATAGATTCCAGATTTTGGATAGATATTCAGATGAATAGATGCATTATATGTGATAAATTTCAGAATCGATAGATAGATGTATATATAATATAATGATTGGTGGATGATTGAACTATAGATATTTGGAATGAATATATTTAATGGGATAATTGATAGATATAAATATATGCATATATTAAATTATAATCATTAATTTATATATATGATAGATATTTATATTTGAATATGAATAAATAGATAGATATATATTTATTTAATATTTACCTTAGATAAATTGATTTATTTCATAAATAGATTTCTGGTAGATAGATTTTGTAAATTATGATTAATAATGATAAAACAATTGATTCTAATAATGTTAATGATGAATATAAATAAATCTGTTATATTCAAATTATAATTTAAAATATTTTATATTTATAATTATATATATAAATATAGATAGATAGATATTTATTTTCTGTAATGATTTTCATTTTATATTCATAATGTAGAATATGTTTGTGTAATAGAAAGTGCTCTAGATTTTTTAATAGATAGAAAAAGATAAAATTCTTTTTTGTTTTTACCAAAATAAATACCTTAGAAATTCAGATAAGTAAACAATAGTTAATCAAAGACAAAAAATAAATGAATGGTTTATTCTATTCATCTTTTATTTTATATTTAAAATTTAAAGATAGATATATATATATGATCTTTATCATATTAATAAAATAGATAATTGTAAGTGCGATTTTTAATTTGATAATTATATTTTTGAAAGAATAAAAATCTTTATTTAATATTGATGAAAATATCATGAATAAATAATAAATATGAATATGTATTTTCTAGATATTTTTTATCTCTTTATTTATGATAATAATTCATAGATAGATAGATATTGATATATATATAGATATCATTATTGTAAATATATTTATCTGTTAGATTTCATAATAGATAAATTTGAATAGAATTTTTATATTTAGATATATAATTCAACATTTCTTTATGAATTTTTTAATTTTTGAATTACAGATATGATTTCAAATTTTAGATATTAATACATTTATATTTATTTTAAAAAATTAAAAATGTTCTTTACATTTTTTAATTTTGTTAGAAGATCATATTTATCTAGAATGCATTTCTAGAAAATAATATGAGTTAAATATATAGATATTTATTCTAGATAGATAGATATATAATTTAAATAAATATTCTAGATATATAGATATTGAGATAGATAAATTTTGATAAACAAAACAAATTGATTTGAAAATTTAGATGTTATAAATAACAAATAAATATTCTTTATATATATCTGCTATTTCATATTATTTATTTATAGATAATATTTAGATATCATAATAGATTTTTGAAATACATTTTAATGAATAATGACATAAATGTATTTACATGTTATAATTTTAGATATTTACATAGATAGATTAGATATATATAATATATATTTTCTATTCTATGAATCTAAGACAAATAAATATTTATAGATATCTATAAAAGATATTTGAAAGATGTAAAAATAATATTAGAAATATTTTTTAGATAGATAGATATGATAGATACAGATAGATAGAATAAATTTAGATTTTATTTAGATATTCTTAGATAGATAGATAGATAAAAAATAGATATATAGATAGATAAAAGATTTAGATAGATATAAAAGAAATAATTATTTTTAGATTTATAGATAGATAATAGATAGATAGATAATTTGAAAATGAGATCTTAGATAGATAATAAAAATAAATAGATAGATATATATATAATATATATATATGGATCAGATAGATAGATATGAAAAAATGAATTATTTTATTTTTAGATAGATAGATAGATAGAAAATAGATAAATATATATGATATATATTATAAATATATATATAAGATAGAAATTTAGATAGATGATAGAAAGATAAATAGATAGATAGATATGATTTTCTAAATTTTATTTTTCAAATAGATAGATATAGGCTAATTGATATCCCATTAGATAGAAATAATATATATTTTCATATTTAAGATATATAGATAGATAGATAGATAGATAATATATTTACTTTTAACTTTATATATAGATAGATACCTACAATATAGATTGAAATAAATATATATTATAGAATTTAGATATTGCTCATAGATAGATATATAGATAGATAAATAAAAATCAAGAGATAGATATATATATGAAATAGATAGATAGATAGATATGAAGAAATAGATATATATTTATATATATATATATTTTATATATATATTAATCAGATATAGATTTATGAATAGATAGATTTATCTAGATAGAAGATAGATGAAGATTTCTTTAGATAGATCAGATAGATATGAAAAATAAAATTATAAGATTTTATAGTTAAATAGATATATAAATATGAAAGATGTCTAGATATTAGATAGATAGATGATATATATATATATATATATAATATTTGTAATTCCCAGAGATATGATATATATATTATTTTAGATAGATATATAGATAGTTGATAGATTAAAATAGATTAAATATATTTGCTTAGATGTTTTAGATAGAAAAAAATAAATGATAAATAAAAATTCTTTACGAATAGATAGTAGATTACTTAATATTTCATAAATTATTTTTATATACAAGATAATTTGAAAATATGAAGAAAGATTCTCATAGATATTTAGATAGATAGATATATAGAATTTAGATAGAAACCTATGCAATAGATAGATTTAATAGATATATAGATGAATATCTC